TAGAGATATTTCTTTTCGAGGCGACGGTCTGGCCGTGTTAAAAAGACCACCCATTCTGATAATTAGCGATTAGATGACTGACGAAGCCCAGGTGAAGAACAAGAGTTATGACCACCGTCGTTCGTATTGTTCTGTTTGCGGCTAGAGAAAATGATAACTGCGATTAAAAGGAAGAAAAGGAAAAGAAAAAGACAATTTTTTTTTTTTTTTGTGAAGCAAGATATATTTTTTTCCTGAAACAAAGCCGCGGAATCGTACATGCCCGACTAAAACATCATTGGTCGAGTGGTGATCACGTGACGCAAGGAGGAGGTTGTCGCCGCCCATCTAGAGGATGGGTATGAGAGGTTGCTACGAAGAAGTGGGGATGGCAGTTCACGCCCCTCTGAAGTATGGTGAGAAGGTGGGAGTAAGAGAAGGCTCCCAAAAATGGAAAAAAATAGTGGAAAATTCCTAACCAGAAATAAAAGAGGTGGATATGTATTTAGAATTATCGAGGACCCCGGCGCCGACAAACCCACCCCGGTTTTGGTCGGCGTTTCATATAAGCCAAGTCGCAGTGAGCAGTTTTCAGTGGAGTTTCAGTTAAGTTCGAGTTTGAGTTAAGTTCCAGTTAGTTGCAGTGAGCTGAGGGCTCTGAAGATCCGCCTCGCAGATAGCTGACTTGCAAGATTCGCGCAAATTCCGAACTCCTCTTCAATCCAAGAACAATTATTTTGAAGAGCGACTTAGATCCAGACCACCAAAATAAGTTTTATTTTCGACTTTCGCCGAAGACACACCGAAAAACCAATTTCTTAAAGAGCAAATAACTTGAAGCGTTAAAACTCGCCTAACGGAAAACAACGTGTCACAATCCATAGAACGGGTCGGGAAATAGACGCAGTCCTATGTATCCAACAACTAGACATAAAGTTTGTTATCCTTTTTTTGATACCTTGAATTTTTGAGTTATCATTTTATTTTCTTTTATGCATATTTGTGTGGTGTCACCCCCGTTTGAACCCGATTTGCATTACGGCCCCAACTACTGATTGATCTCGTCTGCCTAATATCAATTCACAACGTGGGTACGCAGACTGGAGATCAATGCAGTTACTTTGGTAACCAGGCGTTGGAAGCGAGTTGGGAACGACGAGGCTGATATCGAATCTAACCAGATTCCCATCCGAATCACCAAAAGGTTAGAACGTCACATTTGGGTGCCGCGACCGATACCAAGCCAGTTGGTCGTCACAGGACGAGACAACACGATTGACGCGACAGGCGGACGTCACGTTTGGAGCGGCGACACCCGAACGGAGCAGCGAGGAGCGAGCGAAGGCTGTGTTTAGGGACGTCGCAGCTGACGCCGCGACCAAGGACGTCACAGTGGGCGCCGCGGCAAGGACGTCACAGTAACATAAACAATGAAAATAGAGTATATTTAATGGTTTAAGTCTGACACATATTTTCATATATTTTCTGCTTATACGTTATTTTTATGGATACAAATTATTTGAGTATATATATATATATATATAATAAGAAGAAAGTACAGTAAGATTTATAATCTGGTGTTCTTAGCAATTATTTTTATTTTGAAAAAAACAGTGATCAATAAAAACAGTAGAGAATAATATTATAATTATTTTCTTTTTAAAAATATGATTCCATCGCGATACAGAATTTTCTGTTTCAAAACTGAAACTAAAGTTGTAAGTGTAATTATAAAAATTAAACATAAAATCCAGTGTCGCGTTCCATTGTCAAGCGATGTTAAGAAATTTACTTAATTTATAAGTGCAGACAATATTAATATTTTGAGTTGATAAGGTTGAAAATTCAATCTATTTTGATTAAGGGTGGTTAGCTTTTAATTTCCTTAGATAACTTTTATATCGAATGTATTTCTCTTACAAAACTTAACCAAAGACACGCACACACAATAAAAAGGGATGATAAGAAGTTATATAAGCACTTTACCTGTGAGGGTAAATATTAATTTCTCGAATTTACGTGGGACGGTGATCAGCATCGAAAGAAAGTTCCGAAATTCATGTACATTCAGCGCTGAAACTAATTCGACTGTGGTCGGAAGTGTATAAACAATGAAAAATTTAGTTTCGTTTTATTTATTAGACATTACTAAAATATCATTACATATTGATTTCATCGTCTACTTTGTTTTTTGCTATATCATTTTAGCCAAGATGCGTTCCATAGCCTTTCATCATAAAACGATGCTGATGCTTACCTCCAAGAGACAAGATCCAACCAAATCACAGCTCTATGGGTCCATCACTGATATTTCTATAATCTTAAGCGAACGCAGAATGCGCTTTGTAGATCAATGCTGGCAAGCAAAACAAGAAAGCATGAGTCATCTACTGTTCTGTATATCTAGCCATAGAGTAAGACGGGTTGATCGGCCAGCAACCACATATATTGACCAGCTATGTTAGAATACAGATATTTCACCCTAATGACCTTCCGAGCTTGATGCAGGACCGTGAAGGTTTACGTGATAGGCTCATGAATGTCAGAGCTAACTCGACCAAACAATCAGAAGATTCTAAATGTATGAAACTGTATCTACTCACTTTGGTGATATCCAAAAATCTGGGAAGAATTTTAAAAGATGTCGGAAAATGTGACACCGAAATCCGAAGTCGTATTGGAATAGAGAAAGGCGCCTTTCAAAAGTTAAGCAATATATTAAGAAGAGGGAAATCTCGATAGGCACAAAAAAAGTAGTGAAAAAAAGAGTGTTGGACTTTTATGTAACGTCAATAATGATATATATATATATATGTTTTAATTCCCATTAAATCCTTTCATTTTAGTGACCTTATCGCATTCTTTTAGGTGAAAGAAATTGCGGTGAATGCTAAACAATTTTCTCAGAGTTGAAGATGAAATCTGAGACAAAGACTGACGTTTAAAGACAATGGAAGCAAAAAGGATACTTTTACTTAGAATTAAAAAGAAACAGTTGAAATTTTGGCGACTTAAAATTACGAAAAGTTTATGAGAACATATTGAAATCAAAATGGCCAAAACGAAACAGCAAATATCCTACATAAGAAGATTGTGTAACTGGATTGCAAAACATGGCGTAAGTAGGATAGTAAAAAAAACAATCAAATAAACATTGCGAAGAGCTACAAAGGATAGGAAGTTATGGTGAGCCATTATCGCCTTCGTTCACGGTACCTAGAAGAATATATTTAAATATAAGTTTTAATAGCAGTTCTCTGGCATAGGTGAGTATTATCGTTATCTTTGAAACATACATGGTTAGTTTGTATTCAACTTAAAAGAGATGATTTCGACGTTTGGCAAGAAAGCTTCTCTAAGATAAAACGCTCACTCCGGACGTCAGGAGTAAAATAATAAAAAAAAAAAAAAGGTCAAAGAAGAAGTCCGTATTTCTTTGCCGAATGCTTAGTTTGAGTGGTGGGAATTCTCGCACACATCCCAGGTCGATGAGATCAACTGATATCGATAAAACAGTTTTGATTAACTCTGATCTTTAACGGCGTGCACACCGTGAGAGGCAAATCAAGAAAGATTAAAGAGACTTTTGGATGGAATTGGCTAAAGAAAAAAAAAAAGAATAAATTAGGGTCTGAAAATGATGAAAGAAGACCGTAAATAGTGGAGGAATGAATAGAGACAAAGTAGGAAAGACAGGAAGTCAAGAAATGAAAGAATATCCTAGAGAATTAACATAAAAATATTAAAAAAGAACTAAAAGGGAAAAAGGAAGAAGGAAAAGACGGAGATTAAAGGAGAAAAGCGTGTAATGGCGGTAAGTATTGGAATCAAAAAATGGGGAAATATGACAAGGTGGGAAATGGAAAAAGGAACGGTAATCTGGAGATTAAAATGTATATGGAAAAGAAAGAAAGAAAGATAGATAGAAAGAAATAAGAAAGAAAGAAATAGGTTCAAGAAAAAAGAAAGAAAGAAAGAGAGAAATGGGCAGAGTGACAAAAGAAAGAAAGAAAACAGTTACATTGAAAAAAGAAGAAAGAAACAGTCAGCTTGAAAAAAGAAGGAAGGGAAATGTTCAGAGTAAAGAAAAAAAGAAAGAAAGAAAGAACAGAAAAATAAACGGATAGATTCAATAAAAAATGAGAGAGAGAGAGAGAGAGAGAGAGAGAGAGAGAGAGCACTGAAAAAATTAAAGAAAGAAAGAGAACCGGCAGATTGAAAAAAATTCTCAGAGTAAAGAAAAAAGAAAGACATAGACAGTTTCACGAAAATAAACCAAGAAAGAAATGGGAAGAGTAAAGAAAGAAAGAAAGAAAGAAAGAAAGAAAGAAAGAAAGAAATGCACAGGTTCAAGAAATGAATAAATAAATAAATAAAGAAAGAAAGAAAAAAAGAAATGCACAGGTTCAAGAAAGAAAGAAAGAAAGAAAGAAAGAAAGAAGAAGAAAGAAAAAAGAAAGAAATGCACAGGTTCAAGAAAGAAAAAAGAAAGAAAGAAAGAAATGCACAGATTCAAAAAGGAAAGAAATGCACAGATTCAAGAAAGAAAGAAAAAAGAAAGAAAGAAATGCACAGGTTCAAGAAATTAATGAATAAATAAATAAAATAAAGAAAAAGAAAAAAGAAAGAAAGAAAGAAAGAAAGAAAGAAAGAAAGAAAGAAATGCACAGGTTCAAGAAAGAAAGAAAGAAAGAAAGAAAGAAAGAAGACAACTACTCAGGAGAAAAAAGTTGAAGGTAAAATAATTGGAAGGAAAACTAAAGTTAAGAAAAAACAAAAGGAGCAAATTGTTAAATATCTGACGACGTAATATATGACAAAAATCAAAAGAAAAGACTTTTATAATCAAGTTTAAGAAGGCAAGCCATATTGATAAAAGTAAAAAGTGAAATAAAATTTAAAATGTGTAGAAAGAGAGAAAATATGAATAAAGAAAGAAAGAAGCACAATAAAAAAGAAAAAAAAAGTCAAAATGCGAAAAAACAAAGAAAATGGAAAGGAATAAATTATTGACAGAACGTGTTGTGATAAAAAGCAATTATAATCAGATAGAATAAAACGAGGAATTAAATAATAGTAATAATGAAAAATGTATGGATCCATAATGTAATAAAAAGTAACAAATACATGATGGAGTAAAACAAATGAAGAAGTAGTATTCGGAAAAATACAATATCTAAAAAATAAACGGATTTGAATTGCTGTTATTAATCAGCCAACCACAGATAAAATAGAGAATCGAAAATTGAAGGGTTAATCCATATAATCACATCAGTTTCCGTGACTGAATTGATTAAAGCTATATCTGTGATGGATGGAATTTTGAAATGTGTGTGTTGAGTTCAATTTCCGTCGGAAGATATATGTTGATTTCCGAATTCGTGTTGTTTGTTCAAGCGACCCAACAAAGTATCGACGGAGTGTTGTGATAAAACACATAGAAGAAGTAAAGAACGTAATGATTTATTAATAGTAAATTAATATTTGCTGGTGGGGCTATTAGTCAGTGTTAGTGCCAGAATAAATATCAAGATTTTGGATTGAGATTCAAGGTCAAGAATGCGCGCCCCATGTGGAAGATTGAGACAGCGCAAAAATAAAAAGGAAATGGAGTTATAAACACATTTTTTTTTACATTTTGGTTTCATCTTTAGTAAATTTAACAAATGTGAACGGAAATAAAAAAAGAAGTAAAGTAAAAATATGAGAACAACAAATGAAAAAGAATAAAAAGAAAATATTGACTGATTAAGAAAATAATTAAAAATAAAACTGGGAAAAATGATGGAATTTTTATGTTTATAAACATTTGACTCTAAAAATATTGACCTATTTCATTAAGGAATTTTGTCAATGTTATGAATTTTCTGTAAAAGTTTAATGATATTGACAGTTGACTCTTAAGAGTATTGACACTGCTTCATTAAGGAATCTTATCAATGTTCTGCATTATCTCTGTATTTTTTTTTAATTATCGACATTTGACTCTTTAGAATACTGACATCGATTCATTAACGTATTTCGTCAATGTTCTGCATTTCTCTCGAGTCTTTTAAGAATATTGATTTCGCTTCATTAAAGAATTTCCTCAGTGTTCTGCATTTTCTTCAGAATTTCATTGTTATCGCCATCTGACTCTTAAAAATGTTGGCATTGCTTCATCATTAATTCTGTAAATGTTCTGAATTTCTGTAGAATTTTTAAAGTTATTGATAATTAAAGAATTTCGTCAATATTCTACATTTTCTCTAGAATTTTAAATGTTATCAACATTTGAATCTTTAGAATATTGTCTTCGCTTCATTAAGGGATTTTTGTCAATATTATGCATTTTCTATAGAATTTTTAAAGCTATAGGCATTTGATCTTTACGTATATTGTCTTCGCTTCATTAAAGAATTTTTTAAAATTTGAATTTTCTGTAGAATTTTCAAATTTATCGACATTTTTCTCTAAGAATATTGACTTTGTTTCATTATGGAAAATAAATACATTAAATAACTTTCAGATTGATGATAAGCTGTAGACATGAATGAATCAAGCAATAACGTCAAGCAATATCGTTTTCTTTTTCCTACTTCTCTTGCCTTCAGTCTACATTATGTGTGTTAAATTCCCAATGGCCTCTTTTCTCATCTATGTCCCAAAGTTTTCAGTCGTTCCATATCTGAAATGTGTTCGCTTTTCTTAATCTCGTTAGAAGTTCTTCGTTTCACAGCCCACTCAACACTCGCCGACGAATCAAATCTCTCGCTCTTTAAATATTCTGCAAGGAAAATGTTCAGCATTCACTGCCAAAAAGCAGATTAGAGATTACATAACAGTCCAGCACCTAATAGATTATTTCTAAGCATTTCATTAACTCTTAATACCATGCTCTCTTTATGAAAGTCATCTCTCAGTTTCGTATTTCTATATCACACTTTCTGTCATTTGTTAATCTGCCAGATTATGTACTTCTACTCTGCGTAAGGCTTACGGCCATATCACATTAGAACATCTGTCTTCGCACGATCACTGAAGTTAAGCAATGTCGAGTCTGGTCTGTACCTAGATGAGCGATTATGGGCAGTGTAATGAATAATGGTTCGGAATTTTAAATCTTAGAGTCAAGTTCCAATTCCGGTCGAGTTCGTTATGTTTACTTAGGTACAAATACCAATAGGAAAGGATTGAATCCACTTCTCCCTCCAGCTAAGTAGAACTTCTAACAGTAAAAACCATTATTATCTCCAAATTTTCTTACAATCTAAAATTTTTTTTCATGTTCTATATTAAATCTGATCACCCATAAAATCAAATCCATCTGAATCCTCTGTATGTAACACGTGTCATAGATTCTCTCTTGGCAACCATGTATCTTGTCTCTAAATTGCCAGTCTTTTCTTTTTGCTTTCCTCGATTTAATCAGTCAGCTATGTACCATGCATGATACACGCTTAGGCGATCATGTATCTTTCTATACATGACTAACGAGGCAGATATTTTCCCGCAGTAGGTTGCCATTTCTTCTGCGGTAGG